TTTTTTTTTTTTTTTTTTTTTTTTTAATATAAAAAATTTCGAGTGAAGAGACGCCTCCCGAATATTGACCCGCCCAGTGAAAATTGCTCGGCCACGTGCCCGCGCGAAGTGTACGTTTGTGTGCGGGCATGTGTGTCACGACGTCCGTAAAACTCTTAAATCGATTCCGTCCGACGGTACGTGTTATAAAATCGTAAAACTCAAAGACCGAAAATTTGAAGGGAAACGTCCACTCGGATCGTCTCCGGGTGGTAGGAGGGCCGTCGGACGGAGACGATTCGGAATTGATGCCCCCGTGCGCCGAACGTCTCGACGCGGCCGTGATTACTTACGTATATGAAAAACGACGTTACGTTTCGTTTTCGACGGGGGAATTCGCTATACACACACACACACACACACACATACAATACACACACACAATACAAGCGGGTTTATTATTACCGCGTATTCCGGAACGCGCGATCAACTGCGGGCCGCGTGAAAAATGATTATACACGCAAACGCGCGCGCGCCGCGGCCGGACGAAAATTTCCTCGGCCGAAATTAGGAAAATAAATCAAAAATCGAAAACGCCATTACGCGCGGACGTCGTCGTCGATTAACAATATTTATTTTTACCGCCGTCTCCGCCGCCGGGAGCGCATTAAAGAGGTCAGGACGTCGGTGGCGGCGGCGGCGGCGCAAAGCAATAAATAAAATTTTCGGTCTACGTATTCAAAAGATTCTGCGGCCATTGCGGACAGCTGTGTGCTGACCCGTTAACGGTTAAACTTGCGAAAACTCCCCGTGTGTACGTATACGTATATATGCGTGTATACATATATATATATATATAAATATATATTTATACGTACACAAAAGCTAAATCGGACAAAAACGGAACCTTTTTTCCATTTTTTTTTTTTCTCCTCCTTTCTCCGCACTTCTCGGGGCCGACCTCTTTTGCAAGCCGCAGCGGCCCGCGATGAGGGGGGCCGGCCGGACGGGAAAGGGGACAAAAAGACAGAAAGAAATAACACACGCACGTTCGCGTGACCGTTCCGTCGTGACAAATGAACAAGCTGACTCGGCCGTTCGCGTATGTATAAAGTGCGGAAAGGTCTGCGTGCGTGGCGGCGGGCGGGGAGGAAAATAGAAAAAAAATAACACGGAGTTTTTCGCCTGTAGGTACACATGTATACGGGAAAGCCGAAACTCTCGCGGCGCCCTGCACCCGACGACAACGACTCCGCGTTGCCTAATATAACGTTTCCCTTCCCCACCCCCGACTCCCCGAAACGACCGATGCAGCACTGATAATAGACACGACGGATACACCCCGCGGTCGTGGCGCACGTCACACACGCGGGGAGTTTATGTTACCGCGTAAGCGGTTATCGGTTCCACGTGTTGTTTTTATCGCGCGTTTTCCGGCCGTGCATAACGATACACGTACTGCAGCGTGGCACGGTAACGGGCGACAAGCGTTTGGGCGAATTACCTTTTTTCCCCCGCATAATAAAAACAGTGTGTTCGGACGAGTTCCTCATAATGTGCGGGAGCGAGTGTGATACGTACAACGTAAAACATAAAAGATAAAATCGTAAAACAAATGCACGTGTAAAATGTCGGAGAATACCTAAATATGATATTTCACAATTGGTTTCCCTGCGTCATCATTCGGATGAGATAACAAAAATTGCTATTTCCTAGTGAGCAATAATAATATATTCATCTAAACTTAATAATTATTATGGTATTTCAAACATCGGTTTTGCTCAAACGTTGAAAACGCAAACTCGTTGTAGTGTTCTTGTTCTCGACGTTTTTAACTCGTTAAAGTGTTTTAGTTATTGGCATTCAGTACTAGTTCATAGTTATTAATTATTACGAGCCGTGCGCTTTGGCTATTGATATCGTAAATTTGAAAACGCTTTTACAACAAAACGTAATAAACGATCCATTTGATTGAAAATATTTAATCATACTCGTGGAATTCACAAACGGTCCCTATTCCGTCGAAACGAGAGTGAAAATTGTATTGTTAATTGTAAATTGTAAACCGCCCCAACAGATCCATATCCGAGACGGTAATTGCTGCAGACAGTTACCAGATGCGGTGGATAAGACGGGTTTTACGGCCACTACCGTGGGCGGTTCAAGTTCGGGAAAAATTGTAAAAAATTGTATTGTCTTTGAAAAATTGTCCACAACGTGTTCGGTCGAGTAATTTTAAAATTTTATGATGTGTTTGGGCGGGATTGACGGCAGTTGAACGCGCACAACTGAGCGTCCGAAAATTGGACGCGGAAAGTTGAACGAGGCGACATTTACGACAATTGATGTCGATGATAAATTATTGTTATAACTTTTTTTTTTAAAGATGCATAGAAATTATATTATGATAAAATGATGCGATTATAATTTAACAATACAATATTACAAAAACAAGCGTTAAAAATAAGTCAAAAAGATTTTTTTTTTTTATAAAATATGATTTGCAAATGGCGGTAAATTGTTAATAAACAAAAGTAAAAGAATACAGTTCAATATTTTAAGCGGTCCTTTTTAAAAAAAGTGTCTATTATCCTTGAATCATATTTTTAGAAAATATTATTTAAGCTTAACGTCGAATATTAGTCCTTTTTTTTTTTGTGGGTTTTGGTTCACTGCCTGTGATGAATTGATGTATTCTAATACGATTCGATTTTTCATCTTTTGTAGAGCGTCAATAAATTTCCGAATTTATAGACGCGCAGCCTTTAATGAAGACTTAAATCAATCATGACATACTTCAATAGCAATTTTAGTCCTCGGTAAATAATTTTTAATTAAATTATAACAGTTTCATAACTGTAACGCAAATTTTGGAAATCTTCATTTCCCATTACGATAAATTCGACCTATACACGTGACTTCAAAATAATCGATACGAGGTGTTAATATTAATTCGTAATATGCATAAAGATCCGTTTCCAATAGGTTTTCGAATGCTTCAATAACAGATCCCGAGGGAACATATGCTAATGCATTCGGCTTTTTAATATTTAATGCAAACTCCGAATTTTCGCTGCGTTTTACTACAATTTCAGTATCTTGAATATGTCCCCACACCCATTGGAAAAAATAAAAAATACATTTATTTCTTACGATGTTACAATATGCCGATAATTTTAAATGTTAAATTGTTTACAATTATTAAACTCTAGCTATACCATATTAAATATTTGAACTGCACGCGTATTATATTTACATATAGAACTGTGGAATAATAATTTTTTTTTATGAACGTTTTAAATATTCAAATGTTCATAGTTATTGTCAATCATTGTTACCTGTAAAGATACAGCTCCTAAAACAGCTCGAGTACCAACTTCAGTACATTTCGCCGTCGATTTTAAAGTTCGTATTGCTTTTCTCGCTTCAATTTTCGAAATATCTGGTCTATGGTTTTGATCTATTCCGTCTTCGTTCACTATCTGACCATCTTATGAACGAATACGACCGCGAACGTTTTTCGCATTACATTCGATACAACGCCAACTGTTTTTTTTTTTTTACCGCGCCCGTACAAAAACCCAGCATAACAAAATAGACCGCGACCTTTTTAGCTCTTAATGAACTCCGCATATTTATAAATATTTGTATCAATAAGCGTATGTAAAGTGGACGAATAGCGGAAACGGAAAAACGTGGAACTGTCCGGCTGTAAATGAAACTTGCCACAACCACGGTTGGCCTTTTAACGTATTGCGGTCGTAGTCGCGTACTTGTCTAGCGACGAGATAAGTAAAATGACGGTGAAAATCACGATAGATTTCTTACATCTAAACCAGGCGGTTTTATAGAAGTTTATTGAACGTCGCGGTGATTATTTGCCGGGGCGCTCAATTGTCTTTGCATGAATTTTGCGAGCTCAATTTTCCGCGCCCAATTGTCGGGACACCCTCCCGTGTACCCGAATCGATTTCGCGCCGCGACCATCAACTAACGCCGCCCATACCGTGTCTTTTTTTATTGTTATTGTTATGTTACGTTCTGCGAGCCGCATCGTCTCATTACCTGATCGCCCGTCGGCGGCAAGGGCGGCTGGCCTCGATCGAATTTTTTTTTTTTTTTTTTTCCCGCTAGAAATAAATGAAAATAATATCGTCTTTGCGTTCGTTCGTTTGTACAGTCTGCTCGCGGTATGGTTTTCCAATCCCGGCCTGAAAATCGCGTGTCCGCCGCAACCTATATTACGCAAGATTTACGATTATTTGTATTTATTTATTATTATTATTATTTTTTTTTTTTCCAAACCCTCCGCGTGTTCCACCGCAGTCGCACAGAGACAGACGGGTGAATATTTTTCACGCGTTCACGTTGTCGTCGGCGGTGTAAACGGTCTGACGGGACACCGTGCGTAGGAAAATGCAAATACAGGACACAATCTCTTTCCCGGACCCCTTTTCAAAACACCCGTGTTAGTATTTCTTCGCAGTCGTACCTATGCATTATTATCGTTTTTTTTTTTTCTTGTTCGCCTGAACAGGTATTTTTTTTTTCGGTTTTTCAAACGAAATCTATCGATTTCAATCGAATAAGTATGCGCGTTTGTACGCGCATATGATGCGCGTCGGTATTTATGCAATTTGTTTTTTCACACCCTCCCGACGTACGAATCAAAACGATTTTATGTGAAATAATATTGTATTTTATATTTTCTGAAAAACAAAAAAAAATCCCATTTTTCAAATTGTGTTCCCAAAACATATAGTATTATCATTCGTCGATAATGTAGTACTTTTATCGATTTTATACGCACGGTTTCGTCAAAATTTCTCTACGAGTATTTTCGGTTTCATTAAAATACATGTG